CGTACTGGTAAAGGATTCTTAAAGATGATGGGGTTAAAGATGCTGACTTGAGATGCCTGAAGGAATCTTACATGCCCTTCGAGTATCTGTATGAGAGGTATGACCATAGCAAGTCCTTTTGTACTTACCATGACGAGATCTCTCTCACTTCTCTGGGCCATATCCACCGCAGAGTGTTCCTAATGAAAAAGGAAAGAATCCACACTAGGTTGGTTATGGTCTCTAAGACTTTGATGGAGGGGATCAATGGACAGACATACACCATAGTCCCCATGATCATAGCCGACATCTACAGGGCTCTGGAGGTCTGTCAAAGAGAGGTCAAGCATTTCGAGGGTTGTAACTTGTTGCTACAGTTGTGGTTGCTAGAACATCTTCAGAAGGGCCAGTATCACCAAGAATTTCCGCGAAGGGCTTGGAATGAACATATTGCCTTCCATCACCCTAAGCGGATGACTTACATTCCGAATAGGTTTGCTCAGCCGGAAAGTGCCAAAGAGTGGGTGGAATTCTTCGACAATCTGACTGAGGAGCAAGTGCACTGGATGTTTGAATGGTTCCCGACAGACGAACTCATCATCAGGTCCAGAGACGCTCCACACCTGGTGCTGATTGGGTTGAGAGGGATATATACCCTTATGTCCCTATCCGAGTTATGAGGCAAGCAGGCAGGAAACAGGTTGTGCCAAGGGTCGCCAAGATGAGTCATTTCAGAGCAGACTTTCAAGACGACGACGTCCCTTACAAGTGCCAAGCCCAGCACATGTGGCACTGCAAAAGCATTGTGGAATAGAACACCATTGAGCCCGACAGGTATCATGCAGGGTGCGAACCTCTCTACCCGGCCTGGTTAGAAGACAATCTAAAAGGAAATGGTGATGCCAGGAGCCAGGCGAGGGAACAGGATCATAGACGAAGAAGATGAAGCTCAAGTCAAGTACATCAGGATGCGCAAGAGGATCCACGACTCTGAGAATGAGCACCGGGAAATACATGAGAGGAATGTGAGATTGATTGAGGAATAGAGATGGCGAATCGACCTCGAAAACAGGAAAGC